ATATAATAAAATATGATGCATCGATAAAAGTAAACCAACTATAGCTTCTTAATGTTTCTTGAATGAATCTCACCAAACTTCATTTTGAGCAAAAGATATTAGAAATAACATAACCCATACTTGATTACTATATTCATATCACACATAATATCAGGCAACCATTGTTCATGGTACTTAAAGATGATGATGGTACCTTTGGGAAGAAGCAAGGATAAACAGGGATAGGAACAAGAGTAGTGGCAATGTTCCATTTCCTAATATCCATAATGTTGCATAGGAGTATTCACTTTGTGATAATCCTTATTTTTACCCCTTTTCTGTATATGTATTTCAATTAAAATTTCTTAAAACTTTCATCATAGGGCATGTGAGACAAGCAATAGATTATGTAATGGAGATCAGGGCTTGGGGAAGAGAGGGTAGAAAAAGATGTGGTAGTTACATTAGCTCAGGTTAAAAATGGCCCCTAACCAAGATTCAGGGGCCACCGTGAACCTTCCAGCTAAAACCAAAAAAAAAAAAAGCGAAAGCAGACCCTGAGCCTGCCTGCTGAATTGGGGCTGAAGGAGATTGAAATCTCACTAATTTCCACTCACTGCTATTTTCTCTGTGCCTTGCCTCCACACTCTTCATTCTTAGTCTAGGAAAACATTGTTCCTTTCTGAGCCTCCTCCAGTGCTGAAAATTTCAGCCATAATATGTGATTCTAGATAGGGAAACAGGAAAATGTGTAATGAGACATCAGAAGTGTTAGCTGTGCTAACTTCTCAGGAGAACTGGAGATGTCTTTACACCAAGTCTTAACACTAAAAAAAAAAGCAATGTTCTTTCAATAGCTTTTCTAGAACACTCACTTTCCCTTGCACCTGAGGTACTTAGCCAGTATTTTTCCCTGTATGAGACAGCACTTCAGACATCTAGATGGTGCTGTGCCTCAGCAACCACTCTCAGGTGATAAATAACCGTGGAAATGCATCAGCAATTGTGTTCCTAATCAGTAGGTAAATTAATTACACATAGCCAAGAGTTCATTTTTATTCTGTCCTGTCTTCCTGCCGCTTGATGTTTGTAAAGGATTCTGTTGGCTCCAGCCAGAGGATTTTGATTTCTTCACCTCTTGACCCCTAATGAGGAATTTCAAGGGAAAAGTCATTTTCTGTCTTCTCACCTAGGTCTTTATTCCAATCCATCAAAATAGTTCATGGAAATTTCAGTGATGGCTTGGTTATAAAATTGAAGCCATGTTGCTGCTGGTAGCTCTTGCAATCTTTATTAGCATTTATGGATGTGAACCCAGGCAGTGGCAGTTATATTCCCATTATTAACAGCCTGTTAAGAGCCACATTACTGTCTTACCTTATTGGACTTCTGTCTGAGAGGAAAAAATAAAGAACTGATTTAATTTCCTCCTGCCATTGACCTGTGGTATTTGTAAGGTATCGACCTGCCTCATCTCTGTGAAACGGACCCTAGGAGGGCTGGTCACCTTGGTATGAAACTTTCCAAATAAATCCATTTGAAACTGGGATCAGAACTAACTGGATAAGGAGCTAAACTGAGAAGTTAGTCTCCTGAGTTGAGGCCAGATCAGGTTTCCTCTGCAACATGAAGACCTGATTTTGACGCACTAGTGCAGTGAAGTAAATTTTGGAGAAAGGTTCTTAGTCTTTGTGGGGAAAAAAAAACAAAAACCCCTCTATCTTTCCAATTCTTCCCCAACCCCTTTAGTTTTTCCAACAACAGAGGTGATTTATCTTTCCATTTTAATGATGCTTGGTTCCCTTGGGGAGATTCAACTCAAGAAATAGGAAACTCATTCTAAAGAACAGTACAGCTTATCTCCAGAGAACCATACTTCCGGGTCACTGGACTTGAACTATTTCCCAGGTGAGTCATTTGACTTAGAAGCAACTGTGAGTGCATCAGGAAGGTGACAGGATCGATACTTTCACGCTGTTCTGTCATTTAAAGTCATTTCAGCAACACCTGAGAAAGAGCTAGGTTTTCCTACCTGCCTCCTCACTACCCAGGTCAGTCGTGTTTGGATCGGCATTCAGGTACAGGAAGATTCTCCCTTGTGGAATATTTGGCAGATATGGTTTACCTTTTTCTTCTAGGTTCCCCTTTCATTCTTTTTCCTTCTAGTATAGACATAGCAAGGGCTTCCCAAGGGGTACAGTGGTAAAAAATCCACCTGCCAATGCAGGAGGCTCAAGAGACCTGGGTTCAGTCTCAGGGTTGGGAAGATCCTCTGGAGCAGGAAATGGCAACCCACAACAGTATTCTTGCCCAAAGAATCCTGTGGACAGAGGAGTCTGGAGGGCTACAGCCCATGGGGTTCTCCGGGCAAGATTCTCTCAGATCTCAGAGTCGGACATGACTGAGGGACTAATACACACACAGACACATTAGCTCTTTATTCCAAACTACAGATCAGAACACTTCTGCTGACAATGGGTTTGTTACATATTTAATGAGACAGATTTATATAAGAGGAAAATTTATATTAAAAAATGCCACCAAATGACTATCTGTTTACCACTCACTTAAGCACTTGTGATAATATTTGCAGCAGTATCATTTTCCTTATTTATTTACTTTGCAAGCTGTTCTGCCTGACCTGGCCCAAATATTCATTATACTTTTTAACTTTATTATTTATTTTTATCAAAACAATACATGTACATAATTTTTACGTGACTTTGACAAAGCTCATAAGAAAGGGCAATAGTCTCTTGTCACTCTTTCCCAGGTCAGTTTGTCCAATAATTTACTTTGACTCTCCTGATACTGTCCTCCTTCTATTTTCTCTTTCTCTCTTTCTAAAGCATCTCTTGATTGAATGCTGAAATTCCATACAATCTTCTCAAACCTTTGTTTTAGTTTCTACTTTCCTTCTGAGCATTTTGGTCAAACTTTGAGAATTCTCTCAAATCTAACTTTCAATCCTTATACTGAATTTCTATTTTCTGCTCTCAATTCCAAAAGTTCATTCTTGCTCTCTGAATGTTCCTTTTTAAGATAGACTGTAGCTCTTTCCTAGATGCAGCATCTTTTCCTATCTCTCCGAACTCATTATTGTTATAAAGTTTTCATCTTTTGCTCCCTGCATTGTCTCTATCGATGCCAACTTTCCTTTTCTGGTTGTTTGTCTTTCTCTTCCAGGTTGGAAGTTTACTCAAATATCTCGTGTTCCTTGATTGTTAATGTATATTTTCCTTTTTATTATTGTATTTTGAATAGGCATTATAATCATATGCTTCAAAATGCAAAAATATAAACATAAAAGAATTCAGTAAAAATTTCGCACCCATCTTTGCCATGCATCTGCCCACTTCCCATCTCTTGCCATTGGTAACCACTACCCTTGGGCATCCTCCCAGAGGTCCTTTATGCACAAAAGAGCTGTAGAAGCGACATTTCCCAGTCATTCTTGAAGTTGGGTGTGACACCGTAACTAATTTCTAGTCAATAAATGTGAACAGAAACACGTGCCACTTCCAGGTTTATACTTTTAGGAAGCAGGTTCAACTACTTCATACTCTTTTTCTCCTTCCACTGGGTGGATGCTGATGAGAAGGAGACCGTAGGAATTGGTACAGCTTCAAGATGGAAGGGACCTGAGTTCCTGAATCACCGCGTGGAGGAGAGATACCCATGGACCAAGAACTTAGCCTGCTGTACAAGGGAGACATAAACTTCCATTGTGTTTGAAACCTTAAATAACCTGGGTCTATTTATCCACACAGGCAAGCCTTCCCTAACAAATAAAATTTGTCTACACATCACAGAGACATCAGCCACATTCTCTACGTTTAAGGAAAGAGTAAAAGTCAGCAGTGTGAAATAGTAGGCACAGAGTCAGCCAGAGAAGGTGGCATAAACACGGCAGCAGATGTTGGCAAGAGGCATGATGAGCAGCAGCTGGAAGAGAGGAACCAGACACGCCCCGACAGCTGCTGCTCTTAGGTACCAGCTATAAGAGACAGTGCTGAGGGTACCAATCCTGTACAGTTAGGAACAAACATTAAAGCAATTACATAGCATCTGCATACTGTAGGTGCCTTCAGAATATTCAGGTTGTGTGTAGATAGACAGATAGATAGGAGTATGTTATACAAGGGGCTTTCCCAGTGGCTCACTGGTAAAGAATCTGCTTGCAATGCAGGAGCCACAGGAGATGTGGGTTCGATCCTTGGGTCAGGAAGATCCCTTGGAGGAGGGCATGGCAATCCTCTCCAGTGTTCTTGCCTGGAGAATCCCATGGACAGAGGAGCCTGGTGGGCTATAGGCCATAAGGTCACAAAAGAGTCAGACATGACTGAAGTGACTTAGCATGCATGCTGTATATAGATGCTTGCAAATACATAGTCACAATGACTAGCCTCCAAAATATGAAGATACTACAGTTGAAGGATTATAGATGAGTGGTTTTTTTCCATCTAAATCATCTAAACTGTTTAAAAGAAACATACCATCCACTTATGGTGAAAATATTTTTTCTTGACTTTGAAGGAAAAAAAAAAATCTTCCTTTTAATTACATACTTCCATGAAAATATTTAATTTCTAGGCATTCAATAAATAATACAGATGCAATTCACAGTTTTGTCCAATTCCTATTCGGAGTTTTTCAAGAAATGAATATTTATATACCACATAGACTATGACTGCATGTTTGCCGTTTGTCAGTTCCCCAGTTCCCCAGTTACATAATCAGCTCCTTTGAAGGCAGACACTATATTGTACTCGCGGATTGTCACAGGCATTTGGCACATAGGAGGCACTCAGGAATGTTAGGTGAATGAATCTGTGAATGCTTGAGTATTCCAGTAGCTTTTAATATGTAAATTCAATGGTACTTGATAAATTATCTCAGCCTTGGAGTCCTGTTCCCTGTTACTTCAGTTTTGCTAAGTGTATGATATAAAGGCATTGACTGATCATACTTAAGACACCTAAACAGTGTTCTTTTTTTTTCTTTTACTTTACACATCACAGCTCCATTCATCGCAAATAAAGGTGTAGATAGCATTGTCAAGTTTGACACTTTTGGAGATGGCGTGGGACGATACAACGTGTTCAACTTCCAGTATGTGGGTGGCAAGTACTCCTACCTGAAGGTTGGTCATTGGTCAGAAACCTTATCACTAGATGTTGACTCTATCCACTGGTCCCGGAATTCAATGCCCACTTCCCAGTGCAGTGACCCTTGTGCACCCAATGAAATGAAGAATATGCAACCAGGAGATGTCTGCTGCTGGATCTGCATCCCCTGCGAGCCCTACGAATACCTGGCTGATGAGTTCACCTGTATGGATTGCGGCCTTGGGCAGTGGCCCACTGCAGACCTATCTGGCTGCTTTGACCTTCCTGAGGACTACATCAAGTGGGAAGATGCCTGGGCCATTGGTCCAGTCACCATTGCCTGTCTGGGTTTTATGTGCACATGCATGGTTGTGACTGTTTTTATCAAGCACAACAACACACCGTTGGTCAAAGCATCAGGCCGGGAGCTCTGCTACATCCTGTTGTTTGGGGTTGGCCTGTCCTACTGCATGACGTTCTTCTTCATTTCCAAGCCGTCACCCGTCATCTGCGCATTGCGCCGACTGGGGCTGGGGACCTCCTTCGCTGTCTGTTACTCAGCCCTGCTAACCAAGACAAACTGCATTGCCCGCATCTTCGATGGGGTAAAGAATGGCGCTCAGAGGCCAAAATTCATCAGCCCGAGTTCTCAGGTTTTCATCTGCCTGGGTCTGATACTGGTGCAGATCGTGGTCGTGTCTGTGTGGCTCATCCTGGAGGCTCCAGGCACTAGACGGCACACACTTCCAGAGAAGCGGGAAACAGTCATCCTAAAATGCAACGTCAAAGATTCCAGCATGTTGATCTCACTTACCTACGACGTAGTCCTGGTCATCTTATGCACTGTGTATGCCTTCAAAACGCGGAAGTGCCCAGAAAATTTCAACGAGGCCAAGTTCATTGGTTTTACCATGTACACGACGTGCATCATCTGGTTGGCCTTCCTCCCTATATTTTATGTGACGTCAAGTGACTACAGAGTAAGTCTTGGAATGGTTTCCTCTTTTCCTTCTTCTTGTATCCTTCTACTGTTTTGTTATGTAGAATTTACAATAGACTCCCTTTATCTCAGCAATCAGGTAGCTAAATAACAAATGCTATGATGAACTGCCATGTTGCATATGGAAATTAATTCACGTGTTTTAAAAGCAATTAGTGCTTACTATGTGGAAAACATTGTGCTAGGCACAGAAAGGAAGATACGTGTATATGGCATAGTCATTCAAACAATTTATAATCTGGTGGGACAAAAGTATAATACACACACACACACCCTTAAAACTTTTAATTAAATTTAGAAAGTTAGTGACGAGAGAATAAGACTTACACCACTAGAAATCTAATGAGAATACTTTAAATTAGACACAAGAGGACCAGGCTACCATAGATCAATCTGTAAGTTAAAGCTGACTTGCAACATTAAGCCAGGATCAGTTTAAAGACCTAAAAACTCTCACTTGAGTTTCAGATAAACATGATTATTTCTCTAAAATGGGTTAAAATACAATATTTACTTATTGTATTTTTCCTACAACTTTAGTTCCTACAGGCATGGTATATATATGTACCTTGAATGTAATGTAATGTAATCCTTGAATTAGTTAAAAATTTTACTGTCTATATTCGGGCAATCTAATTAAATCATTATTCATATAGTCTTCAGTGATATTTAGTTCAAAGTTTTGGGCTTCAATATAATTATCATCTTTTCTGAAAGAAACTGGTTCATCATTCCATCAAAACTTCTCAAATTGTTGAAATGATCCACCAGTTGCTCTTGCATTTAAAATTGTAATTTTAGTATCTTCCAATGAGTAAGTATGAGTGAGTATAGGAATTTTTCCCTCTTAAAGCAATCGGTTTTTATTTTCTATATTTCTTAAGTCATCATAAAGTTTTCCAGAGGCATTATAGTTTCCTTATTACACTGTGATTTCACCGAATTAAGTGCCTCTGTAGGTTAGAATAGCTTCCAAAACTTTTGTTTATCAGCAGTTCCTATGTTACCAAGCTCTTGAATATCACAACTCAAAAGTAAGACAAAGCTATTTACAGCAACAGATCAAGAGATTGGCAAAGCTTAGCATGTCTAGTCTATTAAATTATCCACTACCATATGACTGAAACCTCTGGACTACCACAAAGGAAAAACAAGAAAAATGAAGTATATATATTCAGCATTGGGATAACAGTCAGGCTTTCTAAGGCTATCTATAAAATTTTTTGAAAATCTGTCAAAGGAAAAAACATCAAAACTAAATCAGAGGTCAGAACTAAAATCACAGGCCAGATTATATGCACCACAAGGGAGTTTGTAACTTTTGAGTGTGAGGATTAAATGTAGAACTACAGTTCATGTATTTTAATGCCCCCAATTCTATCTTTTATTTTTCAGTACACATCACCCTCTTAAAGACCTATAAAGATTTTTTTTTTCCTGTTCTTAGGAAGCCATCCTTAGTAGATAGGACTTGGGGTATTGGGACTGCAAAATGGTTATTACACTGTTAATTATTTCAGCCTCAACATATGATTTGAAACTATTCTTTCTCAGAAAAGCTAATAAAAAAATAGAGCAGAAAATACTACTGAGAGTGAAATTTAATTTCATTGAATGAACTAGCATTTATTTCTAAAAATGACTTTCCCTCCCTTTAACATGATAGCAGTATCATGATTAAATGAAATTAGCTGAAGACCCAAAGTTTCACCACATGACGGAAGTTACTAGAGAAATGCAGCAGAGACTGTAAAGTTGAGTGTTTTAAGGTGTGTGCTAATTAAGGCAACGAATCACACAGAGATCATCTGAGGTCTCACTTATCCTTGCAATAATGCCAACCCTAAGTTTACAAGAGAAATGAGAAGGTACACCAGAGCCTCCAACACAGTGGTTTTCATTTCAACTGCACATTGAATCAACTGGGTAGCTTTGAAAAAATGCTGATACCTGGGGCAGAGCCCCAGAAATTCTGATTTAATTGGCCTGATCTGTGGCCTGAACTTCAGGATTTGTCAAAGCTCCCCAAGTGACTCTCACTTACAGCCACGATTAAAAATCGCTGCTCTAATGAATCACATGCTCTTCTCATCTCATAGATAGCTTTAGCTTGGCCTGCAATGTTCTGAAATTCTGTGAAATATCTGTCAGAGTTAGAAAACTGAGAAATGTTATGAAGCTATCCAGATTCTTGGTTCCTCTTAACAAAGTGAACCATGTGAACCCTAATTCCTACATGCAACAATTAGCTGGTTGAGTAGTGTTCATGTCTCTAGACAGAACTCTCACTCCTGTTACCCACAATGCCCACCAACCCCTGAATTCTTACACTTGGTTTCCTTCATGTATGAAGTATTTGAACTCGGGCCCCTTGTTTTAGATTGAGATTTTTAATTTCTCAGAGGTAAACCATGTGGCTCAGATAGAATCAGCAGCATTAGAAAAGTACCCATTAATCTGAGAACCGGCATTAGAAATTTGGACATCTGTCTACAAGGTTTATGACTCAGTACTTTGCCACCTGCTGGGAGTTACACATAAATATAAAGTACCATTCCAGTCTTCAAAAAGCTTACACTCCAGTTGGGAAAAAATAACAAGAATGAATGAATTCAAGATTAATGCAAAATAGTTTACAGTTAAATTACTGATACAAACTCTTAAATGCCTACTTGTTTCAAAAAAAGAGTTGGATCAGTAAGAGCTTGGTCTTTCCAGGAAGACTCCTGCTGAAAAAGGTGAGATTTCACCCTGGACCTTCGTTGGAAAGTGCAATTAAGGTAGTTAGAGAATATAAGCCTTACAGGGAATATTCTTGAAGCAAAATAGAAACGAACCAAGAAAAATGTAATATTGGTTGTACTCAAATGGAAGGTAAGGGGAGTCTAGTAAGAAACTCATGGGAACTGGCAATTTGGTCAGATTATACCAGGTAAAGGAATTCATTTAAATAATGTTTAAGGGATTTGAGGTCTTCTGATTTTTTTTTTTTAATTTTTCTTGTTTTCTTTTGGTTGGTTGTTTGCTTGGGCAAAAAAGTAACATAATTAAGGTAAGAGGGAAAGAAAGGAACTGACTCTACCTGATCGACCTCCAAGACCTTACTCTGCTATATGCTTTGCATACCTGAGCTCACTTATTCTCATTAGCACCCTGGAAAGCAAATTTCATTATCCATTGGAAAGATGAGTAAACAGACTCAGAGGATAATTAACTTCCCAGGTGGCACAGTTAAGAAATAGTGGGACAAGATTTTTGGATCCAAATCCGTGCCTTTCATGCTATACCACAAACTTATCTGTTCTTAATAGGAGGAATACATTTGTAGGAGTAAAGCCTAAACCAAGCAAAACTGATGCTGTAAGAGGCATCAAGACAAAGCAAGCAAAAACTTGAGTAAGAATCCAAAAATTTGAAGAATCTTTGAGGAATACCCAGACCATCTCCTTCTTTATTGCAACAAAACCATCCTAGAAAGGGTGAAAAAACAAACTCTGAGTCATCAGGGATTCAATACATGGTGTACATGGTGTAAATAAAAAATTAGGCCATGTTTGGGTGGAAAGTTTTCCATAAAAAATTAAAATGGTAATTACTAAGTATTTTGTTCAGTCATGTTTTCCAAAAGTATTTGAGCCTTTATCATGGGCCTTGGAGATACGGCAATTAACATAGACCAGCCCCTCCTCTTTTATAACTTATAGTCTAGTAGGGAACAAGAGGAGATAGAAATGGAGAGTGAGTAATGAACAAATGAAAATTCGGGATAACTCATGCAGGGGTGAGTGCTGTGATGGAAGGGTGAGGGGATATGCTACTTCCCAAGCTTTAAGGTGTATACACCTGGGAATCTTGCTAAACATTTTGATTCAGTGAGAAGGGATGAGGCCCAAGATTCTGGATTTCCAGTAAGCTCTCAGGTGATGGAGATGCTGCTGGACCAAGGACTGTACTTCAGGTTTCAAGGTGCTTGATTCTTTTCTGAGGTTGGGACAGGCAAAGCACTTAATCTAGGCAGAGACTTGGGGGTGACTTTAGAATTTTTTTTACAAGGTTTAAGTAATTGCAAAGAAATTTCACTGTTCACATTGAATATTTGAAGACTTAAAGAAATGTGTCACATCTCATTCTTTCAAAAAAATCTTTGCCACCCCTCCTAGGACCCATTTCATAATACTCTACTGAAAGATGGAAAAGCCAGACAGGGGAATTCCACACACTAGACAGAAGAAGCAGTAAGCACAAATGCCTCTAGGCAAAAATGTCATAGCAAAGAAAGGTGTATCTGGCTACAGTTTAATGAGAGATGGAAGTGTGATTTTATATGAGAGGTAGGCAGGGCGTTGGGGGGAGGGGGCTAGACCACATAGGACTTCATAACACATAGCAAAAAGTTTAGATTTTGTTCTATATGGAAAAAGAAACCACTGAAATTCACTTTTAAGCAGAACAGTTTAGTGATCTCACATTTTAGAAAAAAAAAAATTCAATCTGCTGAAGACACTATATGACAGAAAGGCAACAACAGCAGGAGGGGAGAGAGTGGTTAGGTGTTGCAGTAGGTGTTCCGGTTGGAGCTGATGATGACTGGAGCCAAGGGTAGCATGTCAGTGATGGAGACAGAACCTGTCGGGGACTGTGAAGGGTTTTTAAACCACCCCACAGTCTAACAGGTGAGTCCACAACAGTTTCAGGGATGGTGACAGAAGACATGAGATTCCTGATTCAGAGACAAAGGACTTTATCACTCACAGCCACCACTGTAGCCAGAACATCAGCATTTGTGTAGGCTTCCCAATTGCCACTAAGCAATGCAGAGTGCGCTGGTGACACTTGTATACACAGTCATCATGACAAGATCAGTGTTACTGACTTTTTTTTTTTCATTTATTTTTATTAGTTGGAGGCTAATTACTTTACAATATTGTAGTGGGTTTTGTCATACATTGACATGAATCAGCCATGGATTTACATGTATTC